GCGGGGGAGAGCTGCCTCAGTTGTGACAGTTCTACTAGACCATAAATTAAGCTAATTATTAGTATCAACTGTTACTTATTATTTAATTCAGTAACACTGCACTGTAATTCTTCAACTCTTAAGCTGGCAAAGCATTTTGTAATAGAGCTAGCTGCATGAAAGATCCTATATAAAATTAACTTTACTATTCTTGTTATTATCGTTTAGAAGTCACTCTATCAAGCTGGTATGATTATGAATTAAGAGGGTGAGCTGCTAAGAAAGAGGTTGAGACATAGCTGATGTTTGTTTCAAGCCAATTTTCTATAATCCCAGCCACCAGGAACAGAAGGCCAGTAGATGAAGGTTAAGTAGGATGAGAACTGCAATAAAGCCAAAGGTATAGGTTCTATTAGTGATGTTGTCATTTTGAATTTTTAGACTAAAGATGAAATGAAAATGTTTGCTTTTTATCTACCTGCTCAGGATGAAAGAAAGAAGAATAAGACTCTAGGAGAGAAATGGAGGCTAAAGAAACACATTAAATAAATGTCAGGTGATGTCTGCCCTAAAAAGTGTTCTAGCTGTAACAATTTCACCTCACAGCTATTTATTTCAGAAACAGAGGACTGAAAGTCCCGAGGTTTCGCATTAGTACTCCCTCAGTACACTAATGTCAGAGCACTTCCAGGACTATAGGTAAAATAAATCCACAGATGAAAAACATCTGTGTGTCTACTGTGTCTACATTATGACTCTTCCTTATTGCATCACAATTTTTCTTTGACTATTCCATGTAAAGAATTATGAAAAAAAGCTGGGCCTGGTGGCACATGCCTGTAATCTCAGCTACTCAGGAGGCTGAGGAGGGAGGATGGCTTCAACTTAGGAGTTTGAGACCAGCCTGGGCAATACAGTGAGACCCTGTCTCCAAAAATTATGAAGAAATATGCTAATACTTTACAAGAAAGTTTTTAAACACATAAAAATAACATCACAAGAATCACAGGAAAGCAGCATATATAAACAAAGTTCAAACATTCAATAAATACCTACTGAGTACTAACCACCTTACATGCCAGGCTCTGTGCTTGGAGCTGAGATTGTAGTAGTTGAGTGATGTAAACCAGGATCCAGTCTTCACAGAACTTAAAAGTTGCATGCTGTTCTGGGCTCAAGAAAAGGAGGTTTGATCATCTCAAATCTGTCTGTGCTGCTAAACAAAATACCACCTACTGGGTAATTTGGTAAACAATTGAAATTTATTTCTCATAGTTCTGAAGTCTGAGAAGTTCAAGATCAAGGCGCTGGCATTCAGTGTCTGCTGCCGGCCTTCTTGCAGAAGGGGTAAATGCTGGGTACTCACGTGGAGGAAGGCAAAAGGACAAAAAAGGCCTGGGCTACTTCTCTCCAGCCTTTTTATAGACATTAATCTATCCATGAGGGCTCCACCCTTGTGGTTTAATCACTTCCTAAGAGGCCCCACCTCTTAATACCACCAAAATAGGGATTAAGTTTCAACATGAATTTTGGAGAAGACATGTTCAAACCATAGCAATAGGTTAGACATAAATAATAAAATGGGCTAGGGAAAGAATAATGTAGTCTTTTAGAGGCATGGCTCAGCAGCCTATGGCAAGGGGTCCAATAGTGACTTTGGAAACAATTTATAGCAGCTCAGGATTGAAGCTGTGGAAAGGCAAGTACAGATGCTACCCTGACCTCATCCCTGCCTTTCCCAGCCTTCTATAACTTCGTCTCCACCTTCACTTCCATTGGATTACAGCCGGGAGGGTCATCACTCTGGGGTCCCCTAAGGCTCATTTAGGCAGGGGCAGGTTTCCTGTCTTTCCTTGAAGCTACTGCCACTCCCAACTTGGTTCACTTAGATGTCAATCAGGCAGCTATTTCTGAATTTACCAATCCCAATTTTAGAAAGTGTTTCCCAGAGAAAAGGACAGCCAATGTCACAAGTTTCCCATTTAGAGGTTCCCATTTGCCATCTGGAAAATTGCTATCTAGCTTGCTGGTCTGCTTGCCTATAACATATGGCAAAGATAATAATGGGAAGGTCAGGCCACGGAGGATGGCTCAATCCTCAGCTGACATCCACTGAGCCCACACAATTGCCCAGGCATTGTGGAAAGGAGTGGCACAGTCCTAGCCCTTGAAGGATTTGTAATCTAAAGTTACATTTTTCACATTTAAAAGAGGAACTTAAAAATATGCAGCTTCAATCTACTTTCTAAATATTTATTGATTGCCATTAACTTGGACTATTAAACACTATCTTTTTGAAGCCCCATCTCCCTTTGCCCTCGTTAATGGAGTGTTCTCAATAATAGGCTTTTTCTTTTACTTAAATAATCTTCTGCAGCTCTTACCTTTAAACTAAACTAAGGGAATATTATCATAACTAAAATCTATTCCTATTCAGCTAGAAATGAACACTTAACTTAAAACAAATTGCAGGCCAAGCTTTAAAGGGCCATTAATTAGTAATTGTACTGGAGGAGGAAGGTGATGAGATGGCTAAAATTGGGCAGAATAAGCCTAATTTTTGCTTCTTATCCCCTCTGACAACATTTATCCTTGAAAAGCACATTACTGAATAAGGTAACTTGGTAGAATTACACCATGGTGCCTGGCACATGGAAAGCTCTCAATTGTTGTGTGCCTCTTTTCCCGTTCTCTGCTACCTTCTTTGCTCTCAGCAATCATCCATGCCTCCCATCTCATTATGAAAATAATGGCTTGAACTCTCTCAACTTTAAGCTTATCTTTTTGGTATTCCTTTCCTAGGCCGACTAGTCCACTGATAATCTAGATGCCGCCTCCTCTGGGCTTCTCTAGGGTCCTGCTCTCCCGATAACTTCATCTGTACTATGTATTTTCTTTTTCTCTTTCTCTAATGTTTCCTTACCCTTAGTCATCTAATATGCTCTAGTTTAAAATACATTGCTTTCTCTCCATCATTTTTTTCTTTGTAAGTTACCGGCTGTTTTCTCCTACCAGTTGCACCAAACTTCTTAAATGAGTAGTTCACACTCTCCCTGCTCATCTAAAATCTGTTATACTCCCCGCCTATTGCAACTAGGCTTCTGCAGCTATAATACTAAAACTGCTTTCCCAGAGATCAGTAATGGCCTCCTACTTACCAAATCTAGGGGCCTCTTCTCATTCTTCATCTACCACTCTGTGGCATCCACTCCTTGGATAAAATTCTCCTTGCTGCCTTTTTCTTTATCTGCCACTCTTTATTATTTGTGTTCTCTATCATCTTCTTGTAAGTAGCTTAAATACTGGTGTCCCCAAATGTCCATTCTTAGCTGCTTCTGTTTGCTCTGGATCAGTGCTTCTTAATCTGGATGCATCTAAGAATTACCTAGGGAGTTCTTTGAAAATACAAACCTAGATTAAATCCCATTAAATCTGATTAAATACGTACCAATTACATCTGATTTCTGGCATGACCTAGAAATCTTATCTAATTGGTCTGGGGTTAGGCCTTGGTATTTATTTTATTAAACGTCCCTCAGATGACTCCTAAGTGCAGCGAGGAGTGAGAACCACAGTTCCAGAATATCTCCTTTTATCTTCAGGCCTTCCCTCATTCCTAATACATAGAACTAATTTCCGGCTCTTTGCTGAGCATCTCAGCCTGAATATACCTCACTTTCTATGTGGTCCAAATCAAAATCATTATGTTCCCAATTCTAAGAACTTCTTCCTCTGTGTTTATAGGGCCACCGTTTTCCCATGCTCTCAAGCTGGAGACTTGGAATCTTCTTTAAAACTCCCTTTTTCTTTGCCCCTCAATTCACTTACCTGCCATACCCTGTAGATTTTATTGCTGATCCATTTCAAATCCATTCTCCCTACCACCAACCAAAGCCCCATTTTAGGACCTTATTGTAGTAACTTCTTACCTGGGTTCCCTGCCTTCAGGCTCCTTCCCCTTCCTTCCATCTTCCACATGCTAATAGAGATCTTCCTGGAACACAATTCTGATGATACTCACTCAATAACGACTGCTGGATTTCTCTTATCCAAGAATAAAGTTCATATTCCTTGGTGAGACCCTCACAATCTGGCCCTAATTCTCTAAAACCATTCTTCTTGAGCCTAGATTCTCACCACTATGATGTTACCCAAAATGCAGCTGTAGCTTCCCAATCCTGTGTTCCTTCTTATCTTTGCTCATGCAGTCTTTGTCTAGGACTGGGTTCAACTCAGGCAGTTTAAATGAAGAGACTACTTACAGAGATATGGTCAGCGTAAAGGGAAATCACAAAAGTGGTTGAGGTACCCAGAGACTAGCAAAGGGAGAAGCTCTTATCTTCCTTAGGCCCAAAGGGCCAAGAGGATGAAATACAGTTACCGCAGCTCAATAAGAGTTGGAGCCATAAGTAAGGGGGCCTTGGCCATTAGTAGAAGCTGTAGGCAGAAGGTTGCAAAATTCCAAAACTTCTGTATCTTGCAATGGCCAAACTCGTAACTAGCCAACCACCAAGGTAAAGCAGCCTGTTGGTTACAAAGAAGGATGGAGAGAGGCAGAGAATGGATGCTGGTATAAGGGAGGGAAGAATTAAATGGAGAAGAACCACACAATTCTCTTTTATATATAAAGCAAAATTTCTTTTATATATATAGCAAAACATTTTTTTTTTGTATCTTTTCGGACACAGTTCAAATGTTATCTTTTAGGTAAAGTCTTCCCCCATTTTGCTACCCCCAAATCCAGTTATTTCACTCCTCTATACTGTTATATCTTCATTATTACAGCTATCAGTCTGACTTACACTACAGTTATTTATGTATCTGCATCCGTTTCTTGCATTGCATTTTGTGCTTCTGGATGAAGGGATAGTGCTTCATTTGGTGCAGTGTCTTGCAGGCAACAGACACTCAACAACTGTTGGTTGGATTTAATTGCATTTTTATGTTATTGCTGTCTCAGCCTCTTAGTCCTCACATTTTAAAATATTCCTCTTTTCCTAAGAGTTTCTTTTTTGGTCCTACTTCTGTTTTTTGCTTGATTTCCAACTTCTCCTTACCTACATTTCTTAGGTTAGAGTCTTTTTTTCCCTGCCTCAGGTTTATTTGTACAAATAGTACAGGAGGACCCCAGCCCCATGCAAACAGCAGCCCAGGGGTCACACTGTCCTTCTGTCCTCATGTTGGCAGACACAGACCTCTACTCTTGAGCCTTTGTGGGGCCTGGGCACCTTTGGGAGGCTGAGCTGGAGCTGGAATGGAAGCTGGGGCTACAGCTGAAGCTGCGGATTGGGCCTTGGTTTGATCCTTGGCTTTTGGCCGGCAGAGCCTGAGACCCTTGGCAATGCGTGCACGAGCACATTTCCCAAGCTTGGGGTGGGCAATGTAGGCAAGTTGACTGAGCTTGCGGCTCATGCCCTTTGGGATCTTAGCCTTAACCTCCTTGGGCTTTACAAGGGCCTTGATAGCTTCAGCACGTGTACTCATGGCCTTGGCATTGTTGGCCTGCATCATCTTCAGGCCCTTTTTGTTGTGCTTCTTGGGGAAGTGCATGTTCCTCAGGAACTTGGGGTCCACCCACTTAAGAGATTCATATCTTTGTGATCGGGGTTTCTTGATGCCATTTCTGTGCCACTTTTGGGACTGGTTGTGTGTGATGTGGTTTTTGGACTTGGTTATGTCTACACTGTAACCTGCGGCTGCCGCAGAGCTTGGGACCAGAAGAGCTAGGTTAGAGTCTTAACTGCAGCTCATCAACAAATTTTTGGGAATACCGCCATCACTGATTCTGCAAAGGGTCTAAAAATCACTAGCTTTTTCTATATCCTGAGTGGTGCTTATAAAAATATTTTTCTTTAATTTATGCGTGCAACAACCTAAAAATGAAGTCACAGAACCCAGTTTTTAATTCTTCATTGGACTTTAAACTCATCTGAATAGAAGTTATGCTTGGCTTAACTTGTTTTGCATATAGAAAAGTGCTGTGTGCTGCTTCTATTCGTTATAAATACCAATAGCAAGTACAGCAATGTGTTTTTACTATGCAAACACTACTCTGTATTGATGGTTTGGATGAACATCTGTATGTGGCTTTGAGATTTTTATATGAAAAGGACTTTTTAGGTCCAATGAAAAATATTTTTACATTTGTGGTGTTAATAATGATAAAAAATAATGACAAAAATTATAATTTCCATAGTTATTCTGAGTTTTCAACTCAGCTATTGTGTTTTTCATCTTAAGAAGTTCAACTTGGGTCTTTTTTTTAAAAAAAATGCCTTTTCTCTCAACATGCTCACGCCTTCCTCTACTTTCTTGAACATATGGAAGATAGTTATAATTGCTGTTTTAATGTCTTTGTCTACTAATTTTATCACTTGTGGCATATCTGGATCTGTTTCTATTGATTCACATATTTATTTTTCTCCTTAGGGTTATATTTTCCTGATTCTTTGCATGCCTGGTAATTTTTTATTGGATTCTAAATATTGAATTTCACATTGTCAGATGCTGAGTTTTTGCTTGATTTTTGTTTTTGTATTCTTTTAAGTATTTTTGAGTTATGTTTTGGGACACAATTTAAGTTATTTGGAAATAGTTTGATTCTTCTGAGGCTTGTATTTAAACTTAGGAAGAAGCAGAGCAACTTTTTGTCCAGGGCTAATGGCCTCCTAATGAGGCAACACCTTTCTAAACCCTCAACCCAATGCCCAATATATCACAGTGTTTTCCCATTTAGGCTGTCCATAATGCAAACTATTTCCATTCCAGTGTGATTGCCAGTAATTGCTCCATTCAGGTTTCTCTATCTGTGGTCTTAGGTAGTTTCCTCACACATGCGTGCTCACAATTACTCAGCTGAAGACTGAAGGGGAGGCCTATAACACACCTTACAAGTTCAAGCTGGTAACAGGCACAGCTAACAACAGCTGTTGAGAGATTTGCCTGTTACCTGTGAATTCAGGCCTCAGTTTCTTGAATTCTTACCTTCGTCTCTTCAACTCAGGAAAACTGCCAGGCTTTGTTGAGGTTTCCCTTGCCTGTGCTGTAGGCTGGAACCTTTCCAGGAAGAAAACTGGAGGCAATTGGGGGTTTACCTCATGTGTTTCTCTTCTTTGAGAGATCATCATCCTGTGTTGCATGTTGTCTGACATCTGAAAACTCTTGTTTATATATTAATATTTCATCCTGTTTCCAGTTGTTTAAGGTACAGGGTAAATCAGGTCCCTGTTAGTCCATCATGGCTGCAAGTGAAAGTCACAGTTTTGATTTTTAAATGAGGGCTAGGGAGGTATGTTGAACCAATTTTGTGTCAGAAAACTAAGCCATAGCATGACTATGGCCCAGTTATTTATCCTCTTCTTAGCTTTACTTTCCTCATTTATAAAATGAAGAGATTGGTTTACATGATTATAAAGTTCTTCTCTGCCTCTTAAATTCTGATTCTATAATTAAGCATAGGTGTGTCTTTATAGAGAAAATTGATATATAGTCCCCAAAGTGATCGATTAAAGATTCAGCATTATGGAACTCCCATTTTGCCATAGTAGAGCAAATTTAGGGGAGAAGATTTGGGGTTTTTGTTGTTTTTTTGGAGATAGGGTCTTGCTCTGTTGCCTAGGCTGGGGCATAGTGGCCCAATCATAGCTTACTGTAGCATCAAATGCCAGCGCTCAAGGGATCCTCCCATCTCAACCTCCCAAGAAGCTGGGACTACAGGTGCATGCCACTGTACCTGTCTAGTTTTAAAACATTTTTTTTGTAGAGACAGAGTCTCATTATGTTGTCCAGGCTGGTCTCAAACACCTGGCCTCAATAAACCTCCTGCCTCAGCCTCCCAAGTGCTGAGATTACAGGCATGAGCCACTGCACCTGGCCAAAATTTGTGTTTTAATAGGTAAAGAAGGAGTCTTTAGTTACAAACATGGGAAAAACAATACAAATCTCATAGTACACACAAGAAAAATGACCAAACGATTTTAAGATTAGGAAATATATAGGAATATATTTAGTTTCATTATTGTTTACAGGGGCTAGGCATAGTATATTAGACATAGTAGGTGTTCAATACATAACTGTTGAATATCTCAATGGTACATAAATCTATCTTTCTAAAAGGGTAAAATAGTTGAAAAAGATTCCATTACTGCAAAGTTAAAAATCCATCAATATTAAGATTGGTTAGTTATACATTCATATAGTGGAATACAGCAGTCAAAAATACCGAAGCAGAGTGTTGTATACTAATATGGAATGCTTTCAAAGATATATTGTTAAATGAAAATATGATCATAATATATTTCAAATTTTTATTTATACGGTAATTTTGCAATAAAAAGATTTTAAAAGGAATTGAAAAAGCAATATGTATAATAGTATAAGTACTATAAATATGTTTTAAGACAATATATAAGGACTTGCTTGTATAGACAGAGAATAAATCCAGAAGAATATACAAATTGGTGACACTGGTGCCTTGGAGGACTGGGGGACAGTGTAGAAGGGAGATTCACTTTTCCCTTTATACCCTTTTATATGCACTTTGAATTTTTTTTATTACGTGTATGTTATCTTGTTTTCAAAACTGCTACTACTGGCCAGGTGTGGTGGCTCACACCTATAAATCCTAGCACTTCAGTTAGGCTGGCCGAGGCCGGAGGGTCACTTGAGGCCAGGAGTTCAAGACCAGCCTGGTCAATATAGCAAGACCATGTCTCTACAAAAATTAAAAAATTAGCTGGGCATGGTAGCACATGCCTGTAATTACAGCTACTCAGGAGGCTGAGGCAGAAGTATCACCTAGAGCCTAGGAGTTTGAGGCTGCAGTGAGCTGTGATTGCACCACTGCACTCCAGTCTGGGAGACAGAGCCAGACCCTGTCCCTTAAAAAAAAAATGCTACTACTAGATATATGTACACACATACATATATATGTATACATATATTTTCAACGAAATAATTGAAGGTTTCTGAAAAGGTTAGATTTCCACAAATCAATTTGAGAAACTTTTCTCATCTTTAGATGTTCTGTTTAAAAGAGCCAGACCACACCCACTCTTTTTACTATTACCGCAGGAGATTACAGGGCACCTCCGTGGCTATGATTAATTTCCTATTCCTTATGAAAAGAACTGTCATGCTGGATACCTAAGTGACTACTGGCATCTGGAACGTGAGTGCTGTGAGAGGAAGAACAATGTAGTTGTTTCTAATTCTATGTGCATTTTATGGTACTTAATTAACCTTTATAATCTAACCCACTGTCTTTCTGGCTTCCAGAGGAGCTACCAAGAAACACAGGGTGCAGGAGCTGGACAGTGAGTCTGTGTGATTCACAAGATGATAACTATTGGCCAGTTTGCTACTTTCAAGTTTTATAGGTGGTGTGGAAATGTGTTTCAAAGAGTGAACTAACACCCACCTGGTGGGGACACTACCTATTTTAGGGAGAGAGTTACTCCTCTGGCAAGCTGTCTTACAAGAATGACTTCTAGACATAACCTGTGTTCCTACAGATGTCTGACGTACCTCGTGTAAAACCCAGCCAAGTATTCCCTGGAAGATATGGAGAGATATTTGGAAACATATGTGCCAGGCCAAAATTATAAAATCCATGGCTCATTATGCAAGTCTGAAAAAGTGCTAGAATTTGCTATTATATATGCCCAAGGCATTTTCTTCTGACTTTTTTATCTGCCTTAAGATTTCTGGGGCTGTTGCTGGTTTTGAATTCCTTAAATGCCAATGTAGCAAGCAGATAGTCAGTTCTGGAAAAATGCCTCCAAGATCCAGCCAGCCAATGAAAGAATATGAAAAGATTCTTCAAGAGTTTATTTTGTCTTATGAGAAGTTTATTGTGTTAAAACCTCTATAATACATGAATAATAGGAAGGAAAACATTGCTGTTGAGGGAGGAAATGTTATTTAAAATACCAGTGTTTTTGGTAGATTATGCATTAGCAAGAAGAGCCTGCTTCTCCCCCTAGTGTGAGCCCAAGATTAAGAATTCAACAAAAGGGGGCCACTACTAGGGTTGCCAGATTTAGCAAATAAAAATGTTTTGTTTTTTAAACAGTTTATTTACCTGGGTGTAGAACACCCACATAAATTTGAATTTTAGAAAACAACAAATACTTTTTTAGCATAAGTATGTCCCTCGCAATATTTGGGACATAGTAAAAAATGATTTCACTGTTTATCTGAAAGACAACTTTAATGGGCACCTGTATTTTATCTGGCAATCCTAGCAGCTACATAGTAGTAGATGCATTATATGTTGTTTTTCCTTGCCTCTTGGTTCCTTCACGGAGTGATACTGACACCCTCCACACAAATAGGATCCAATTTGGGGTGAGAACACAGCTGAATTCTTGCTATTCTGCAGAGCCAGAGTGGAGGAACAGGCTACAGAGTGAACTAAGGAACAACTATGAGACAAACCCCCTTTTGCCCAAATAAAACAGATGGAGTTGCCCTTATAATATATGGGATGGACGTTTAGCCTTTTATTTTTATTTATTATTTTTTGTTTGTTTGTTTTTTGTCTTTTTGAAGTTTAGCCTTTTAATTTGAATATTAAAGGAAAAGGTGACCCCAGAAGGCTGGAAGACTTGAAGAAATTCGATGCTGTGGAAATTCTTGGAGTAAGTGAAGGTGGAGGCTCCATAAGCTAGGTTGATATGAGATGGGGTGCGCCTGCTAAGTTGGGTCAGGCTGAGGGAGCTCCTGGCCTTACGCTACACTAGATTCCAGAGCTGGGGAACATGGGTGTTAGAAGACAAGATGGCGACTGGGCTGTAGAGGCAGACTCTTTTCCATGAATTGCAGAGGATCTTGGAGACCACATCAAGGATTTTAGGCTTAATTCAGGAAGCCATGTGTCCCCTCTGAGGGGTTCTGAGCAGGAAATGGCATTATCAGAGCTGTGCTTTAGGAATATTAATCTGGAAATTCTTTCTAGAGGAAGTACCAAGGGGAAATGGAATGGAAACAGGGTGACTAGTTGATAGGGGACTACAGCTCATGTGGCATCTGTGTGTGAATTAGAAAAGGCATCTCCTGTGGGATGCTTAGCTTGGCAAAAGACTATGCCAGGGAATATGGTTTGGTGGCTAAACCAGGGCTGAATTTTAGCTCCCCTTGGCCAGTATAGTAGCTGGTTAATTAATGCTAGTGGCTTAATACAATAAAGATTTAATTTTATTCTTATGTTTTTTAGAGACAGGATCTTGCTATATTGCCCAGGCTGGAGTGTAGTGGCTATTCGCAGGGGTGATCATGGCACGCTAAAGCCCCAAACTCCTGGGCTTAAGCAATGTTCCTGCCTCAGCCTCCTGAGTATCTGGGACTACAGGCATGCGCCACTACACCTAGCTAAGATTTTTTTCTTGCTCACGTCATAGTCTAGTGCCTATGGGGTTGTCTTCCTACTGGATACTGAGAGATCCAGGCTACCTCTATCTTATAGCGGGAACATCTGGACTATGTAGCGTCCAAGATCACCAAAGCAAAGGAAGAAAGAGCTGGAGGTTCTCCCATGGGCACTTAAGACCAGGCTTGGAAGTGACTCATCACTTCTGCCCACATCTCATTGGCCAGAGCATGGCCCCAACCTAGCTACCTATATATCCTATATACTATAACTACCTATATATCCCTAGCTGGGATATATAAAGGAGCATGATAACTTGTACTGCATCGTGGCTAGAAAGCACTGGAAGATGATTCTAGCAGTTAGAGAAGATTATAAGGATATTAGGGAAAATTTGGTGTGTAGCAAGTTCTCGTTTCATTCAACATCATTTTGTTATAAGGTGGATGAGAAAAAATCAATTTCCAGCAGGAGCCACTGTCTGTGTGGGAGTTTGTATGTTCTCCCCACATCTGCATGGGTTTTCTCTGGGTACTCCAGTTTCCTCCCACATCCCAAAGATGTGCACCTTAGGGTAACTGGCACGTCTGCATTGTTCTAGTCTGAATGTGGGTGTGTGTATGAGTGTGTCCTGTGATGGAATGATGTCCTGTCCAGGGTTGGTTCCCACCTTGAGCCCTGAGCTGCCAGGATAGACTACTGTCACCTGTGACTCTGAACTGGCATAATTGGATAAATCATTATCTTAACTTGTTTTCATTAATCTTTTTAAAAAAGTATGTATAGCCCACATTTATTTCAATGTTTAATATTAGAAGTGTTTTGAGTCTTAGAAGTTTGGTGTGTTTTTTTTTTTGTGATCAGAAATATGCCATAGGAACTTAACTCTTTTTTTTTTTTTTTTTTTTTGGTGAGAGAGAGAGTCTTATTTTGTGGCTGGGGCTAGAGTGAATGTCATGGCATCAGCCTAGCTCACGGCAACCTCAAACTCCTGGGATCAAGCGATCTTCCTACTTCAGACTCCCAGGTAGCTGGGACTACAGGTGCTTGCCACTATGCCCAGCTAATTTTCTGTTTCTATTTTTTGTTGCCCGACTAAATTTTTCTATTTTTATTAGAGACAGGGCCTCACTCTTACAGAGGCTGGTTTCAAACTCCTGAGCTCAAGCAATCCTCCTGCCTTGGCCTCCCAGAGTGCTAGGATTACAAGTGTGAGCCACAGCGCCTGAGCAGGAACTTAACTCTTGTTATATCAATTAGCCTATGGTAAAATTGCTTTCCTTATACGTCGTTTAGTTTAACATCACGGTTTCCAAAAACCTATTGATGATGTTAAGTGAGGATTTTTTGTTCTTTATTCAATTTCCATTTTGACCATAATGAGAGTAATATCCTTTCTCTTATACAAAGCACTGTAGAGATTTAATGAGCATCCTTGTGTAGCAATTTGGTTTTTTTAGAACTGTTTACATGGAAAATTATGAGTCATAATTACAGAAGGGACCTTCAGAGATTATAGTGTAGTTTATGCTACACTGTCAGAGCATGACTGACTCAAGTCTAAAACCATAAAAAACAAAAAACAAAAAAAACACTCAAGTTAGCTTCTACCTGTAAAAATTTGTCTTTCTTTATCTGCATGTGACATTACAGTTCTAGATTCACTGTGATTAATGCAAAATTTATCCCCGGCCTTTTGGTGCGCATTCTAGGTAAATGGGGCTTAGGACAGTGAAGAAAGGATAAACACTCCTCTACCAAAGAAATCAAAACTATCTGAGTTCAAACCTGTTTACCAGAGCTTCAGTTAGCCTCTGTTACTAAGTTAAGTTCATGGAGGACAAAGATATTCTTTGAATATTTAAAATAGTATTATATGGGCTCAGACAATCAAAATGGACCATTGACCAATCAGAATTTTGCCATATTGGTGAACATCAACCTGACATACAGCCAAGGACACTTTAAGTACAAGGCCATGAGGAATTATAACCATAACACAGAATTTAAATAAATATTTCAGACTCATTCCTATGGTGTTCATAGGTCTTAGACTTTCCAGGAAAATCCAGGTTTTAGATATTAGATTTAGTTGTTGGATCACTCCCCATTTGGTGAGAAAAACATGGTAATCACAGGCATATCAACATGGGAGGAACCAGCAAGTACATTCATTGTAAGTTGTGGAGGAAAACTAATGAAGCACATTTTTGTCTTAGAGGCACTTAGAATATTAAAAGTGAAAGGACTGCATAGATTATATTAGGCCCTTATTTTAAAGATGAAGAATATTCCTATAAAAGGAAAGATGAAGTTAATTGGATTTCTTCTATTATTCAGGAACATGGACATAGTGTATATAAGATTTCCTATGATATTTTTGAAATAACTATTAAAACTTCCTGGGAAACTATTTGCAGGATCTAATAACATGCAAAGAGAAAACTTTTTTATTTAGTCAAACACCTTTTCTTATAATAAAATCCACTTTCTTCATTCATTCATTCACTAATCCATTAATTCAATAGCTGTTTATTGAACATCTCCTCTAGGCCAAGCACCAGATACTGAAGATACAATGGTGAATCCATCTGATTCCATTATTATTTAAGATACTTTGCTTTTTTGTAAATGAAATGTTGAATCTGTCAGAGTAAACAGAATATTGAGTTTAGGGTCAGAAGACATGAATTTTAAATGTAATTATACTCAACTATAAACTATATCAATGGTATCAAATAACCATTTGCTTAAGCCCCAAATCTCATTCATCTTTAGTCACTTTTTCATCTCATCAGTTATCAAGTTCTTCACAATTTCTGAAATTCGCCTCCTGCCATCCATTTCATTATTGTGGATATTTCTTATTGAAATGTTACATTCAGAGCTATGCCACATATGGTTGTGCAGGTCATCTTCCTCCACATGTGGCAGAGATATTAGTGCCCATCAGATATACATATATTCCTCTATATTTCCCTGTTAATTCCCCTAGTATCCCCTATAAACTGAGAGCTGTATGACTTCCATTGCTATTATTTATATTTTAGACATCCATAAACTCTTTGTTTTAACACATGATAGCATTGACTTTTACAAAACTTATCTGGAGATTAGCTTTTAATATGGCTGCCTTTCCTTTGTGAAGACAGAATAAGCCACGACAGTTGCATTCACATAACTCATGATTTCTCCTGAGCTCACTTTTTGACCACACCAATGTTGGGGGTGAGGGAGTATGTGAGTCAGTTGGTGAGAAGCTACATGGTCCATGTGGAGATGACTCCAATATAGCCCACTTGACTTCATAAACAAAACCAAGACTATCAGAAACAACACATTGGGGAATTTGCAAAGGCCAAAAAGAAAACTGACACTGAATTGCGTTGCTAAGTACTGAGAGTATAAGGAGATGGTGGTAAGATCTATGTGTGAATATTTGAGAGATTGGGATAATTACAGTAAACAGAAAGCAAGGGACAGGAGTACCTGCAGGGTACTAAAGATGTCAGCTCCTGTGTCTGCCCATTTCCTCCCTCTATTATAGGGTCCGCCATGCCCATGCTCATAGCTCCTGCTGAAGCGGTCAGTTTGGACTAGAAGTAACATCTGACTCAAGGCTAGAGACCTATGTTGTGGGTTAGTAGAAAGAGATTTGTAGGCTCAACAAGATTTCCTTCTCTGGAGAATGTGAACCAAGAAACTATGAGAATTTGCCAGTTATGATAGTGTCTTATGCCATGAGGAAGACAAAATTATAAGGGACCCAAAATTATGAGGAAGCAGAAACCAAAAGTTAGAATAAAGAATGAGGCTGGGCAGGGTGGCTCATGCCTATAATCCTAGCACTCTGGGAGGCTGAGGCAGGCAGATCATTTGAGCTCAGGAGTTTGAGACCAGCCTCAGCAAGAGTGAGACCCCGTCTCTACTAAAAAAATATAAAGAAATCGGCTGGATAACTAAAAATATATAGAAAAATAAGCCGGGCATGGTGGCACATGCCTGTAGTCCCAGCGACTCCGGAGGCTGAGGCAGGAGGATTGCTTGAGCCCAGGAATTTGAGGTTGGTGTGAGCTAGGCTGATGCCATGGCACTCTAGCCTGGGCAACAGAGTGAGACTCTGTGTCAAAACAAACTAACAAAACAAAACAAACAAACAAAAAGAATAAAGAATGAAAGTTGGTATCAAAAGAACAGGAAAGCAGAAATGACATGGGAAACGTGGAAATGTGAGAGAGGAAGACATGGAGGGGGAGGTTTCCAGTTATCTCAGTATCTGACGGTGTTTCAGCTCCAGGGTAAGTTTCAATTCTTGTGTTTTTTAACAAGCCCCCACTTTCTTTGAGGTAAATTGAGTGATTTTTGGGTCGTTGCACTTTAAAGAGCTCAAGTAAGTTGCAAGGTCTCCGTCATTTGACATGTGAGTGCAGGAGCCTAAAAGTAGAGCTGCATTTTTTTTTTGAGGGAGAGTCTTGCTTTGTTGCCTGGACTAGAGTGAGTGCTGTGGCATCAGCCTAACTCATAGCAGCCTCAAACTCCTGGGCTCAAGCAATCCTCCTGCCTCAGCCTCCTGAGTAGTTAGGAATACAGGCGTGACCCACCATGCTTGGCTAATTTTTTGTTTCTATTTTTAGTTGACTGGCTAATTTTTTCTATTTTTAGTAGAGACAGAGTCTTGCTCTTGCTGAAGCTGGTCTTGAACTCCTGACCTCAAGTGATCCTGCCACCTTGGCCTCCCAGAGTGCTAGTATTATAGGTGTGAGCCACCACACCCGGCCAAAGAGCTGTATTTTAAACTAAATGATCAGCTTTGAAATAAAGTTAGCCCCACTTGACCTCTATGTGGGTTTACAAGTCTACTTGTAAATCACACCAGCGCAATTTATAGGGAGTTGTTTTTAGAACCTTTACTTCTCATTTTAAATACCAGCAGTTATGTTACAGCATGTGTAGCAGAACCAAATGACAGTCAGCCTCTGGTTCTGGAAGTCAATCACTTCTTTCTTTTGCTTCCTTAGACTGTTTTCATTTTATCTTGACTTTGGATTTAGATCAGATAATAACAGTAGTGTCCACAAAGGCTTGCTGTAACTTAGGGTTTTTGTAGTTATAAATGGCTAACATTTATTGTATACTTGTTCTGTGTCAGGCCCTGTTCTTAAGAACATTCCGGCTGGGTGCGGTGGCTCACGCCTGTAATCCTAGCACTCTGGGAGGCCGAGGCGGGCGGATTGCTCAAGGTCAGGAGTTCGAAACCAGCCTGAAGAGCGAGACCCGTCTCTACTATAAATAGAAAGAAATTAATTGGCTAACTAATATATATAGAAAAAATTATCCGGGCATGGTGGCGCATGCCTGTAGTCCCAGCTACTCGGGAGGCTGAGGCAGTAGGATCGCTGAGCCCCGGAGATTGAGGTTGCTGTGAGCTAGGCTGATGCCATGGCACTCACTCTAGCCTGGGCAACAGAGTGAGACTCTGTCTCAAAAAAAAAAAAAAAAAGAAAAAAAAGAATATTCCATGTAATAATATATTTTATAGTCACAACAATGCTATGATGTAGATAATATTATTATTCCCATTTTACAGATATAAAAAGGTGAGACAGGGAAAGGTTCAAAAAATTTCTCAATGTCTCACAGCTAACAAGTGGCAGAGCCAGGATTCAAATATAGTTAGCATCTACATTCTGAACTAGGGCTTTGTATGGTCTTGTTCCCATGGAAACCGTAGAAGATCCTGACTAACCAAAGATTATGAGTTTCTTGATCCCATTGGTAATTGATTCAATAAATATGCTATGGGTGACCAAGACAGATAGGCAAGGTCTCTGCCCTTAAGAGGGCCTTCCGGTCTTTCAGATTCTTGTAAGTTTGGTTAGAGTTCATCTTTACCCTCAGAATATAATTTTCCCTTGGGTGAAATCGTGAGTTAGAGTTTTTTCCCCAGAAAAGCTGAACATTGGAACTTTGGTGACTTCAGTGTGGTTTATTCTTGCTGGAGCAAGTATTTATAGCATATTGGCAATAATCAATTATTATTTTTCTGGCTAGAATTTTTCCCTCTGACCTTGCAGCTATCCCATCCTCCCCCCAGTCTCTAGCTTTATTTTTGGTTTTTTAAGTTTTTAAATATAGTAGCATGTGCTAGTCTCTATAACGTTTCTTTCAAGATCCTTTTTGGATTTGTTTTCATAGAGCATTAACAATCTAACTTAATATAATTTATCAAACTATAATGGCATTGTATCAGTAATATCAGGAGTAGGTTCAGTGGCATATAACAGAAAAGCCTAGACAATAGTGGCTTAAATAAAATAGCCTCTTATTTCTTTTTCACATAAAAGAATTTTATAGGTGAGCAATCCAGGGTTGTCATGGAGGTGCCACAAAGTTGTCAGGGACCCAGCTCCTTCCCACTCACTGTTACATGATCCCCAGGATAGGCCTCTCCTCCCATGGTCTAAGATGGCTGCAAGGGCTCCAGTCATCATATCATGTCCCAGGTAATAGGATGGAGACAAGGGATGAAATGGGTATATCTCCTTCCTATTAATGAATTATTATTTTCTTTTTTAATAATTAAATATTTTAATTAACTATTTAAATTTTTCTCTTTTTTTTCTTCTTTACAGCAAGTAGCAGGAAGAATGAATTTTTTTTATGTCATAAGTACCACACAGTATTTCTGCTTAGATCTCAACAGCCAGAATTTAGTTGTGTGGCCATACCCATTAAAAGGGAGACTAGGAAATGTAACATTTCAGTTTAGTTACAATAGGACTATCCAGAAATTGGAGTTCGTTATTATGGAATGAAAGAAAATATATAGGGAGGTAATTGAAAGTCTCTACTATAGCTACCTTACATATAGTTGGTATTTTATAAAGAGTTGTTGATTCATAAATGTGATGATCATGTTCTTAGTGGTATCACCTGGGCCATTAATGACAATAATGAATCTAAGGATTTTCCCTCTTCTTATTTTTTTACTTTATGATAATACAATATAGCATATCATTGCTTTCATTGCACCTGGAAGCCCACCTGGAAATAGCTTAGGCAAAATGGGGAATATATTGGAAGGATACAGGGAAACTCTAGAAAAGGATGAGCCTAAGAAGAAGAAAAGGCAGAAATTTGGCCACTGGTCAAGAAAATCTGGAATTGAGAATTCTACTATAACAAAGACACTTTATTTGTCTTCTCTATTTTCTCTGTCCATTGACTTTATTCTCTAATGTAGAATGAGTTTCTTCATTAGGATATCTCCCAGATTTTATATCTAGGTGAGGCTTCAGATGACCTGTCTTTCCAAGTTCAAAAATCCTGGAAGAATGGTTTCATTGGCCCATCTTTGGCCAGGTATCCACCTCTTGACCTATAAGCGTGGCCAAGGAATAGTCAGCAGTAACACAGCTCTTCTTGCTGCCATCATGATAGAAGTGTGGGAATCGGAGGAACAGTTCCCATAGAAAAGGTGTGTTCTGACCACAGTTATATAGGTGTCCACTATAATTACATGTGATGAACAAATACAGGTCAGTGGTCTGAATTAAATGAATGGTGAAGAAGAATAGGATCTATCCTAATGCATAAAAATGATTTAGCTACAAATAAACATTATTTAAAGGGGCTGCAATGTATATAATATTTACTATGTGTCAGGCATTGAACTGAATGCTTTTTATATATTGAGTCATTTATTCTTTATGAGCTAGAGGTTGTTATCCCCTTTTATAGATCAAAAAACTAGAGCTCAGAGAGGTTAAATAATTTGTCTATGGTCAGATAGCTAGTAAGTAAAAGACATTTGTTTTAACTTCAAAGTTTTAAACTACTTGAGTTGGAAACTATGGTCATTTTTGACCATAGTTCTGCCATAATAAAGCTATTTGAACTGATAAACTTTGTAATGTCTAACAGGGTTTTAATCTCTTCATCTGTAGAAAGATTGGTTTGGCTTAAATTACTTTTTCTCCTGTGTGTGTGTGTGTGTGTGTGTGTGTGTGTGTGTGTGTGTTTAAAAAGATAGAGTCTTCCTCTGTTGCCCAGACTGGAGTGCAGTGGTGCAATCATATCTCACTATACCTTCGAACTCCTGAGCTCAAGGAATCCTCCTGCCTCAGTTAATTTTTAAATTCTTTTGTAGAGACAGGGGTCTTGCTATGTTGCCCAGGATGGTCTTGAATTCCTGACCTCAGGTGAGCCTACCACCTCAGTTACCTAAAATGCTAGGATTACAGGTATGAGCCACTGTGCCTGGTCTACCTTTGTTAATGCAGATAATTTTAATATATTCAATATTTTTGAAGGCTTCGTGAACTAGATCTTTGTCAGGACCTGAGAGTAAATTAAAATATACAAGAGGTATTTCTGTTTACAGTGTTATGGACAAACAAACAAAATTAGTATTTTGCAGAATTAGAAGTCTAGGAAAGAGTAGCCTTTATGAGAGATGACCATCAGCTCAATCCTGTCTTCAAGAGTATTTCTATCTCTCTGCCATTCTCTGTATGTTGCCTTTATATTAAGGCAGTTGCAAGATGGCTGCCAGTGGCACTCTGAGTTATAGGCTGACTTGTTCATACTTGGCAGGAAACAGAGAACTCTCTCTCCCAAGCATGGACTGAAAATCCTTCCTTTCAGTTTGATTGGGCCAGTTTGCCCCAGGACTATAGTGTTTTTCAAGTGTACTAATTAGAATAGTCTAGCATATTCTAATCTAGCATAACCTAGATTCTAGGTCATGCTGCAGTGAAAAATACTCCCAAGTCTCAGTGGCTTAAACAACAAAGATGCATTTCTTACTCAAACTATATGAAGGTGGGAGGTAGGCTGCTCTACATTGTCCTTTTTTGGGAACCTAGGCTGAGAGAGGCTTTACCAGTACTAAGAGTAAATACTATAAAGGACTTAGGCTGGCCATTAAATGTTCTACCTAGAATTGACACATGCCACTAATACCCACAACCCACTATACACTGGTGGCTATAACTAAGTCAGTGTCATGGTCCAGCCCAACCGCGAGGTGGGGAGGGTATCTAGAGTACTTGTGGAAAAGTATAATCATTTTATATGCCTGGAGGGAGAGGGTAAGCATTACAAATTTCTTATCATATTAGGTAATCCAATTACTGATTGACTCAGGCTGAGTTGCCCTTCTGTAGTGGAGTTTGGGTGGTTACCTAAAAAACAAGTAAATAAAAACAAAAATAAAGAACTCTATTAGAAAGGAAGGACAGGAGTGGATGCTGAATAAGAAATTAATAATGTCAACTATATGCTGCTTTAACCCAATGAAGAAAAATTTTAGCCATGGAGGCAAGTCATAGGGAGGGATAGTCTGGCTAGTTTCATCAGCTTTTATTTATTTATTTTTTTAATTTATAAAATCCTTTTTTCTTTTTTTCTTTTTTACTCTCAGCACTACTAAATGATCATCAGCTTTTAAATCAATCACTTCATTTACTCTTCTAATGGGAAAGATTAGCTCTGGCTTTTTAATGAGTGGGTGTAGAGTTTCTATTTAAGGAGTTGGCTCAAAAGTGACTTAAAACACATTGGATTTGAAAATATAGACTTTTTCCATATTTCACTTTTGTACGTACTGTCAATGGTGTGTCAAGCTGGCTAGATTTATAGTTTTAGAACTGGCAAACAACTAAAATTTATCTAGTTCAACCTCTTTATTTTATAAATGAGAAAACTGAGAACCAAATGGGTAAAATGATTTCTCAAGGTCACACCTACTTGCTCATGGCACTAACAGTGCTTCCTTTTGGATGATTTCCTGCAAAATGGAATCCTGTAAGTGAAATGTGGCTATAGTGACAATTATTTGATATAAAACAAGAACAATTACAAATTATTAAAAATATTTCCAGGACTGACAGTCAGTGTGCACACATTGATAGAGATGGAAAAATTTCTAAATTATTTCATAAGGAGCTGCTGCTGAGCCTTCTGAGAGCCTCAGCCTCTTTCTGGGATGCCCAAGATCTCCCCACTATAATAATAGGATCTGCCTCAAAGGTTTGACTTGAGAATTAAATGGTGGAGGTAAAGAGTTTTGCATGGGGACTGGTGCTCAGCAATATTACACCTTGGCTATTATTTTTATTGCAGTCATAATAAAATGGTAGTAAATTTGAAACTAGTTTCTACATGAATGTTCACAACTTAGGAAATGTGATAGCATTCAAGTTCATTAACTTTGATCTAGCTAATCTCTCAATAAAATGGCCACTCATGTACTCACTTTAACTTTCATTTCAATCTTTTCCATTGTCTAAGGGTTTGCTCCTCCTTGCCCCACACCCAAGTCCTCACAGCTCCGGTTGATGTCTAAAAATTTGACTAAGGTTATGTAAAAGAAAATAATGTACTGACAAAGTCCTGCTTGTTTTTAGCATAACACTTCATGGAGAATGGTCTTTACAATCTTTTGTTGAGTAGAACTTATCTATAACTTTTGAGATAAGTAAAGATTAGCCGAAAGCCTAGTTTAGAGAGGGAGGGGTGGAGGAAGAGGTGGGGCATTTATACTTGCTTAAGCAAATATCACAAACTGGGAGTGATGAGAGGCAGAGGCAAGCAGCTGGGGTGAGAAGAGAAAGTGAAAACATCCCAGGAACAAGGTGAGAGGTTGGAGCTTGTGGAGGAAACACCTTGACAGAGATGTTTTCTGGTGGTCAATGATGTTTAGAACCTTTTGGGGATGCTTTCTGTCTCAGAATTTAACCTGGCAAGAAAAAGGCAGGGTTTCAGGAATTTTTCTCTCTGGAAAAAGTAGAAAAAATGTGTATTTTAAAAGCTGGGACTGTTGTTTGCACTGAGAAGAGGCAGGATAAGCACCCATTATAGGTGAATTTTCTAGAAATTCATTACACGGTTAGAACTTAATGTGTAAAGGTTTGTTCTCATATACTGGTTGTTTAACTGAAACTTCTAGTTCTGGGTTGGCAGCTAAATCTTGGGCATGCCCTGGATTGGAAAGGGCCTTGATAACAATGTTCTGTCATGGGCTGAGAAGCACATTAACTTAGAGATCAAAATCACTGAAGAACTAGTTTCTGAGTATATTCTAGAGATACCAAAGTTATTTGCTATTTTAATATATATTATAATGTCCAATAAAAATGTACTAAATCCTGGATATTCTTGGGACGGTTTTGTTTTTATTGAAAGGAGGTAGGGAAGATAAGTATTTTAATTCCTGGGTTTTTGTGAGGGAAAGTTGAAGGCCAGATAAACTTGGACATTTTGAGGCAAATGTAAAGCTTTGAACTTGAAGACTTAAAGTATTATATAACGTATGCTATAATGATTGTTAACCAACTGGAAATGGTTCTCTTCTTTCTTTAAAAAAATAAGTTATACATGCTTGTTAAAATATTTTTATGAATGTTGTATTTAAACTAAAAAGTGAATATTAACCTCACCTGTGACTTCTAAAAATTACCTAGAGTATGACTAATAAGATTTTGCCATCTTACTATGGCATAAGCTTAAAATTTCTGTTCATTTCCAACAAAGGGTGTGACTCTTACAGCAGAATTTTGTTCCGTTTGTAAGCTTAGTGCAGAAATCTCATGGGAGATAGCACCCACGCACGTAACAAATGATTATTGAATGATGACATCCAAACTTTCTGAGCTAGAACATAATTCTGGCTCTGCCAGTATATTTTTTGTGTGACCCTGGATAAGTCATTCTACTTTCTTCTCAATTTTGTTTTACAGAGAGATGACAATCACAAAAAATTACTGTAAAGTACAGCACTTCACAGAATGCTTTTTGTTTAAAGAGCTGACAATAAATACCAGAGGCATCAGGTCAAACCAAGCCTCCCTCGGAAAAAGCCGACTTGCTTGAGGACAGGGGATTTTCTTTTTGTGAATCAGCACACCTTGTTTGTATCTCTATAATACAGCTCCTGGCCTATAAGACGGTCTTAATATTGTGAATTTATGGATGTTATTAGGCAGACTGCAGTCTTGGCAGGCCACTGCCTCTTGAATTCCTTTTCCCTGTGATCCTTTTAATATTTAACATCTAAGAGGCCGCCGCTATTTGCTCTGTGATAAGTCCCCCCGGTATTTACTTAATCCAAGCCTGGAGAAGTAATTCTTGTCTTTAGGGCACCATTTCGCTTTTCCACCGTACTTCGCCCCAGGCTTGGGATCTGGGTCCCGAGGCTACAGGGAAGAGTTTGGTAAGGAAAGCTCATCTTCCGGCCCTCTGATTGGCCGCCTCGCACTCCACTCACGCGGCTTGCTGCTCTGATTGGCCCTGGCGGTACCCCTCGGCCCGAGACTACTTTGTGTGACGGGCGGCGCGCTCAGGTCCTCCCGCTCAGCTCGCGGTCTGGGCCGGTCTGAGGTAGCTCTTCGGCCCACTGCTCTGCATCGCTGGCGCCAGGAATTTCCCGAGTCCGAGCGGGTAGGAAGCACCTTAGGGAAAAGCCTCCCCTTCTCTCCCCACGCTGTTCTCTTTCCCGTACTGAATAAACTTCCGCCTCAGAGGGGCTGTCGCAGCCGCGGGTCGGGAGAGGCCGGGCATCGAAGGCAGGCCCTCGTGGGGGGCCTTTCTCTAAGAGGGGATGTGGAAAAACAGCTCTCACAAGATAAAACAGGGCTCCACGGAATCGCCGGTGGGAGCGATGCCATTGTATGATCGCGCTGCAAGCTGCAGCCAAGCGTCCAAGCGCGGGTTGCAGGGGCTGAGCAGCAGCAGCGACCACCCCTAAAGTGGCAAGGAGCCTGCTTCAGATTTCCAGTGTGGGTGCTCCGTGGGGCTGCGGACTGAGCTGGCGTGGGCCGGTCCGTTCCCCGGCGCTCCAGAGAATACGGCCGCCTGAGATGGCTCTCCCGGGAGTGGGAGCCGGGCTCCACTCGCGTCCCTCTCAGCCTCCGGCCTTCAGGCGACAGAGGGCGGCCTACGTGCGAGCCGGCGCTCGCGCGCGCAGCCGCTGCCCTGCTGGAACTCTGCCGTCCCGCTGTGGCCCGCGGCTCTGCCTGGTGGATGCTGCAGCTACGCTACCCACCGGCGCAGCGAGGAAGGGGGCGGGGAGAAGCCCTGGCACATGCCAGGGTCGCCGTAGGTGGCAGCGGCCGGCGCATGCGCGCCCCCTCCCAGGAGCCTGGAACGCGGAGGGGCGCGCGCCTCCATTCGCGCGCGCACGCTTGCGCTGGCCGAGGCTTCCCCGCCTGCGCTCGTTTGTCAGAGCTGCTCCGGCGCGTGCGCGCCTATCTCCGGCCGACCCGAGTAGCCGGTTCCCTCGGCTCCAGGCCCCCTCCCCCAGCCCGCTCCCCAGCCTACCCGTCCCCTTCCTCTCCCCGCGGAATGGGGCTGGCGCTGCTCGGGGTTGCGCGCCCTGGACCCGGCTCGCGCTCGGTCTCGCGCTGTCAGCAACTGCCCGGCTCGCGCCGCCTCGCGCTCTCCCTCAGTCAGTGGCGCCGAAGGCTCCGTTAAGCGGCGGCGGCGGTGGTTCCTGTTTCCGTTTCTTCCTCTCCCTTCAGTCGGGAGTAGCATCCTCCACCCAGCCACCCCTCCCACTCCCCCAGCGTGGGGCAGCTGTGGCTGAGGGCTGTGGCCGTGGCGGCGGCGACGGGGGACGGCGGAGACCGCCTCTGCTCCCGCCTCCGGTAAGGGGGCGTTTTGGGAGCCGGGCCCCGAGCGCTTCGGGGTCTTGGGCTGGGCAGGCGCGCGGGATCTGAGGAGGCTACCGGGCTGTCGCTGCTCTTTTCTCCGGGCGACTCCTGGGCCTGTTGCTGCAACTGCTGCTGCTAATCCAGCAGCTCCCGGAAAAGTGGGGAGAGAACCCCCGGGACGCTCTGGCGGGTGCCTTGGCGCAGCCCCGGGGGTGCGGGCAGCGGTCAGGGGCTCCAGCCGCCCCGGTCGGGACGCGGAGCGGCGCCGCCGCTGCCCTGGACGTCGCGCATCCTTGCTTAGGGCAGGGGCCGAAGCCGAGGAGAGAAGAGATGGGGGCAGGGGTGGGAGGTGTTCCTTATCTCCCCTCTGCACCTACCTCCCCTTTCGCCAGCAGCTGGGTCCTTGTAGTCAGGACTGTTGGGGAGGATGCCTGTGCATTGTGGGGTTTCCATGAGTGGCTTCAGCTAGAAATCAGGGAGTGGACCAGCACAAAGATCCACTCCCTGCGAGGGGCCAATGCTGGGCAGTTAAAGGCTTGAGTGCCGCTGTACCCCCTTTTAATGTATAAATAATGAGCTGGCGCTTTTGAGTATCTAAACTTATTTGGGAAGGTTGAATGAGTATATTTATTAGTTCAAGGAGGTTTGTCCTGCAGGAGTGAGTGGGTTTTCGGGTACAGCACCTGTTCTCTCACCGTGAGGCTTGCAGTCTTTAGAGACACTGTGTATTTCCTAAGTTAAATGGCAGTGTCATGGTTATTCGGGTTTATTAGTGGTGAGCTTTTAGCATTTTGTTGTATATTACCCTTTAGGTAGAGGCCTTGGATAAAGGCTGGGAGAGGTGGTGGTTTCTTTTTCCTATGTTTGAATTAATTTCCAGTTTATTTAAACGAACTCAAGAAGGTGGACCCAGAAAAGCCAGGCTCTACAGTACATAACCCCAAATGTCACCGTTTCGTGGAACAAGATCGCAACACAAGTTTTGTATCAGTTTATAGTTCAACTCACCACGAGTAACTGACTTAACTTTGTCTTGGCTCTATAGAAACTGTAGGCAGGTTTCATTATAGTTTTTTTTTTTCTTGATATTCCTGGGTTTCAGCGCATATTTATTTTCTTGATTAAATTTACATTCCATGTTTTATGCATAATTCTTTAAAAGAGTGCATCATATGGAAAGTATTTTAGGAGAGAAATTATTATTTAAGCACTACAGAGCTATACTGAAATAATGAAGTAAGTTATAGTGTCCCTTTTTAAAAATAACTTTAAAACAACCTAAAACCCTATGCCAAATAATAAGGCCCTGTACATTGCTATCCTTGTGAAATTTATAAGATGACTATAGAAAGTCTTAATTACTTGATTTATTAATACTACAATAGTAAGGAGAAGGTGGGAATTTAGGCCTTTGAAATTGTGATTTTTTACAGGCTTAGTATGTAAAAATGCAGAATGTTAAAGATGAATAGGCTGTAAGGAACATACAAGGGTGGTTTGGAGGCAAGGACTTTCCTTTTGCTGCTTTATAAATTGAGAATTCTGTTTGAATTGGAAAGCAGAACAGCTGGAATGAAACTTGCGTGGATGGCAGAAACATGCAAAAATATATCTATGATCAAGTAGTGAGTTAACATGAAGGATATCTTGTGATATCTTAAAATAGTGATTCAAAATAATTTCCATAAAATTTTGCACTATGTAGATTGTATTTTTAAGGATGTTTTTGAATTTAAAAAGTCACTAGAAGTTATTTTTCAAATCAGTTTAAGATGTATAGAATTGAAAAAAAATAATCATTCTGTTTAAATTATGCAGTGTTTTGTTACAAATTCTAACCAATTATATTTAAGAAACTGGATTCTTAAAAGTGGATTTAAAAGTGGCAAATTTTGAAATTTGCTAGTAGGTTGGAAAAACTTGTTTATTTTTTAAAAATGCAGTTATATTAATACATTGGTCTGGAGGGGGAGCTAGTGCCAAAGCAAAGTATAGCTTAATAGCTGTTTGAACTTTTAAAACACCTAAAACCAGATTTTAAGACCAGGAGAAACATAAATTTTTAATTAAAAGAGTCGGAGAATTGATGTGGGCATATGTCTAATACATGGTTAATTGCGGAGTTGCATATATTATGTATTACAAGTTAGTTTAAAAAAATCTTTTCATGATCTGAAACAATGGAAAGCAAATGCTTAAGATTTATTGAATTTCTCATTTACAATCTCTGAAAATGTGTCTTTAAACTTAGAGTGTGTGGTAGTATTTTCTTAACCTTCTTGTGCAGTGCATCAGAAGGGAATGTGTCTATGTATTCTTGACCCTTTGTGTATGTTGCATGTTCTTAAATTTTTTATTTGTAGTATCTGTAGTCTTAAAATGGAAAAAACTTTAAGTAGAGTCTTATATGGGCAAAGATAGTAATTGTGTAGTAAGCTCAGTACTTATCAAAATGAGAGATATTTATCAAAAGTAGAGATAATTTCTTTTTAAAGTTTTTTTTTTTTTTTTTAAAGTAGAGCTAATTTCAGTGAAGAAACAGACCCTTCAGACACCTGGAAAGCAGTATCCCAAGGTCATTTAACTGTTGTCTCCTGCAATATAATGCAGTGAGTCCAGCTGATCTAGTAAATTGAACTTGTGCCTTTGAATATGAAGCAGTTATTTTGTGGTCTATGGCACTTTATTTAGATTTCTAAACTGTAATCAATTAGATATGTTATTTTACTTCTGACTGTTCACACATTCTTTAAAACCAAGCCCAGAAATTGATAATGTGTATATTAAAATCACTGGAATATTCAGTTTTCTGAGGATAGTGGTTGGGCTCTTTGTTATCTAGAACTCTTCATTATGTAAATAGACTCTCAATGCTGATAAAGTAAAAAATAGATTCTTCCATTTATTTAATGGTTATTTTCCATTTATGATATATTGCATTTAGTAAATCTCTTGGTTTAGTTAAATGGTACATACACTTGTTTCATATTATAGCATATTTATGAATGTAAAAGAAAGTGTTTTATTTTATAATCATAAGAGTAAATATTTAGAAAAGATTCTAAACAACTCTGAAACTGAAAATATTACTATTGTAGTACTTTTATAATACTGGTTCTGTTGGTCTTTTTCAGATGAAATCACAACTTCCAGTCTTCAACAGTAGTATAGCATTTAAAAGTCCCATACAGGATTCACTTTGGTTTTCCTCTTAGTGATTTCTCTCGCTTATATTTCTATACCATATATTACAGAGTTTCTTTTTTGCAGTTTGAATTGTTTTTTAATTGTAGTTTGTTATAATGAGACAATTATATGTAAAAGATATTTACAACTGGATTTTAAAGAACTTTAAAAAAATCTCCAACAGAAGAATATTATATGGAAATATGTATACATTTAAAATATTTTAAAAAATTGATTAGTCTCAAATCCCAACTTTCCTTTCTCTCTACATTCTAATCTCTTGCCTATATTTCCCCTCCCCCAAACACGCTCCATCATCTCACACTTTTCTCTTTGGAATAATTAGGAATCAAACCAACAAACTTAACCTTATCTTCTACCTGGGCAAGGTGTTTCTTCCTTGATTAAATGACTTTTTATCAATCTGTACAATATTGTGAATATATAACCCATATGAATTTTATGAAACTGCACATTTTCCTTTTAATGGAAGAAGAACAAATATGATCTATGGAATTATGCCATGTTTGTCTATATAAGGGTTACTTTTGTACTCTTTATTGAAAGCAGAGTTATAGGATAAGTTTTATTTAAATTTTCTTT